TCATATGGGCATGGCATTTTCTAGGGTGGTCATAGTTGCACGTCCCGTCTGTTTTTTCCAGATTTACCATGTCTGCAGATACCAAGTGCATAGTATGTGCACAGGCTTGGTTTCCGTTTGCCTTGGGTTTGTGTGACTGTATTCCCTGTTGGTGCATGTTTCCCTGTCTTAGTCCTATCCTCCCTAGCACCAACAATGGAGCTCCCACCAGTTGTTTTTGGTAATATATCCTCACTGTAGCTAGTGGAGTCCTCTTGTTTGCTATTTCCTGTGGTATTTCTAGTTTGCAATATTGGTTTTATCTTATCTTTGACTACACTTGTTTCCCCACTACGGCTCCTGTCCCCTATGAGGTCATTTATTTGTATTCCTTCCTGCGTATAATTCCCGACTACCTGGACAAAATCTCCAGCTTCACCATTACTGTCTCCCAGGACAGCACCTCCAGCTTCACCATTACTGTCTCCCAGGACAGCACCTCCAGCTTCACCATTACTGTCTCCGAGGACAGCACCTCCAGCTTCACCATTACTGTCTCCCAGGACAGCACTATCAGCCCCACATTTACTGACTACCAGGACATCACCTCCAGCCTTACAGTTTCTGACTACATGGCCAGTATCAAGGGCAGTACCATTCAGCCCAGACTTTTTATGTTCCCATCTGTTGTAGATAGCTTCCAGGTTGTCTATGAAAGCAGCTTTGATGTTATTCTCTTTTAATACCTTGTGATTTTAGTCCACAGATTTTCCTCATTTGGGCATACCCAAAAACACTTCCTGTTTTAATACTGCTTGTAGCTAGTTCTTGGATATCTGCACAAGGGGCGTGACACCAATTTTCACAAAAATGACAATTTATCCATGTGGAAGCCCGTTTGTTTGATTGACTGCAGACTATACAGAGCTTCATAATGATTTGAGTGGTTGATTTACTGTAATTCTACTAGCAACCTCTTGAATACTCTATTAATAACCTCCTTAAATGAAGCTCTAGCTATTTGTATTTCTATTTCTAACTAATTGGACAGCTTACCGTGTACATTCCTGATTTATATTTATTGTTTGTGTTTGATAAGGGCGCCTACAACCCCATCCGTTTACAGTCTGCTTTATTGTCCAACGAAACCGTTTGAAACCAGTCAAGGGTTCGGACCATCAAGGGTTCGGACCAGTCGAGGGTTCGGACCAGTCGATCTGATCTGATCAGTGGGTCACTTATTTAAAACATACTAGTCGGTGATTTGGGCTAACACATGAAGGATCTACTTGAAATTATCTACCCGAGTAATATGTGATTTGATTGATACAAAAGTATAACTTGCGTGTTGAAGAGCCGGTGATTTCTGGCAGCTCCTACAGTGACGAACGGTCGAGCCTCAACCCTTGTTTATCAATCGCTGTATCTAGCTTTTCTAGTTTTTTTTTTTCGTCTCCACCACAATAAATGCTATATTATCACTATAGTTGACTGGTGGAAATTTTGGAGGAAGGACGCTTTTTCTGTAGTAATAATTGCTTCTCTTTGTGTATATTGCGACCGCTGGTAACTACAGGTTATATGAAATTCACAGTATACGTCTGGTATTTCAAGAAAAACGAAACAAAATGAAAGCACTCCACTCCACTAAGTACCATTAAATATGGTTAGTTGCTACTACAGCACTGTATTCTGCTATTCACTGGTATCACTAGATTATATGCGAGTACACTAGCAGGCCAGAAAGATTATTAAAACAGCTGACCACTGTGGTAAGTTTCTGGCGACTTCTGGCACCTGCCTCTATAGGCTTATCACTTCATTTACAAATTCACCTGTTTTCAAATGACACTTTAGCTTTTATCATCTATATACTAGGGAGCCACTGTAGTATACACCCGGTGGTCTGGTGGCTAAAGCTCCCGCTTCACACACGGAGGGCCCGGGTTCGATTCCCGGCGGGTGGAAATTCTGACACCTGTTGTCCTGTTCACCTAGCAGCAAATAGGTACCTGGGTGTTAGTCGACTGGTGTGGGTCGCATCCTGGGGGACAAGATTAAGGACCCCAATGGAAATAAGTTAGACAGTCCTCGATGACGCACTGACTTTCTTGGGTTATCCTGGGTGGCTAACCCTCCGGGGTTAAAAATCCGAACAAAATCTTATCTTATCACTATGTATACACAATGTTATCAGGGAGACTTTCTTTCCTCTGACAAAGAAAAGTTCTAGTATTATTATTTTGCACACGGAACACAGGGCTATGATTCCCCTCTGGCAGTAAACTCTGCTAGGTAGTGCACACTACAGATGAAGGCGAAGAGTCACAGACCTGCTGGGTGGGGCCAATATATCCGAAATACGAAGGGAGAAACTAGTCAACGAAATTGCAAATATCGAACTTAAGCTGAAGGAATCTTATAGGAGACAAGAATCACAGGAAAAACTAAAAGCCACGAAGGAAATTAAAAAAAAAAACTTCTCTTATGCCAAATCTAAGGAAAAAACATCCAGTATTGGGCCCTTGCTTAAGCGGGATGGGACATACACAGATGGTAGCCAAGAAATGGGTGAGATACTAAAGTCCCAATATGACTCAGTGTTCAGCGAGCCACTGCCCACTCAAAGGGGTCGAAATCACTGAATTCTTATGAACAAAAACCCAAAATTTGGTCACCCCAAAAATCTCAGAATTTTTTAACTCTACAGACTTTGAAGGGGAAATTAATGACATGCCCATGCACTCTACCGAGGCCCAACTCGTGGAACCCCGTCTACAAGAATTGCAAGAACCCCCTATCACGTGCCTTCACTTTTTTTGGGAAAAGAGCATGGAACGGGGGTCTCCCACACACTAAAAACAACAGAACATCCCCCACCAAAAAGGGGGCAGAAAAAGAAATTCCCCAAAAAATAAGACCGTGCCAAACACCCCATATCTAAAAATCTTTGAGGGGGTTCTAAGAAGAAAGATGCCAACCACCAAATACCATCAATTAACAACCCAGGGCAACACGGATTTAGGCAGGTCGCTCCTGCCTGCCCCGGTCTGGTCCCTTGACAGGTCCGGAGCTGTGGAGGAGAAACAAAATACAGATGTAGTATACCAGACTTTGCAAAAGCTTTGAAATTTTAAACCATTGTGTAAAGCACACAAAATGCGGGATAAAAGAATAAGGAAAAAAGTTGGTAGAGGATCTACAATTTCCCCTGACAATAGAACACAAAGAGAATAGTAAACAGAGTAAACCCAGGCGCCACAGTAAAAAAGCTGTTTCCCCAAGGGCCGTACTCCCCCCCATTTTTTTCCTCATCCCCATTTCTGACACAGACAGGATGTAAAACATGCTCTGTGTCTTCCTTTAATATGACCCCGGATCACCATGGCAGGACCCCATCGAAGACACCCCAAGACTCCAGGGGACATCAACCAAATTTCGAATGGGCCACTCAAAACATAAAGAAGTTAACGAGGAGAAAATTTTAAAATACCCGGAATGGGAAAATTGAAGAAATTTAAAAAGGTCAGGTATACCACAAATTTTTAATCAGGGATCTCGCTTTCAAAGAAAACAAGTATCTACCTCACCCCTAGGAAAAAATTTTAGGTGGATAATGAGAACCTTTACAACTAGGGAAAACCCCCAAACCCTGATGTTCTCCTCAAATCGTTGTGCCTCTAGGCTGGGGTATGCGTACCTAACGGCCCCTTTCAAGGGTGGCGACATTGCAGACCCGGAAAGTTACAAAAAAACTTTACGGCACACTTAAATTCGTAAGGACCTAAAGACTCGGAAAAGGTGAAGGTCCTTTTCTGTATTCCTGAACGCAGGCGAAAAATACATGTAATATATACTTGGAAAGGGCCCCGGAGGGGTTGGTACCAAACCTGCACTCGAAATTTCCCCCCTATGAAAACAAAAGACTCGTCAGGAGATGCAAAAAATTCCCCCCCATGACAAGCAGGGTCGCCCCGAGTAACTGGGACAAAACATAAGTGTCCGGGGGGCCCCCGATTTTCAATTTCCTCCCAGCATAATAAAGGGGGATTTCCAAAGCCCTGGGCTTCAAAAAGGGACTGGACAGGCACCCGAAGTCAGTACCGACCAACCCGGGGTGTGGTTCGTACACACTTTCGTGCGGCCAGCAGTGACAGCCTGGTTTATCAGACCCTGATCCACCATGAGGCCTGGTCTCAGACCAGGCCGCGGGGGCGTTGACCCCCGATACCCTCTCCAGGTAAACAGTAACTCTTCTTAAATTGGCTTCAACTGCTGAGTGTGGGAACACGGATTTTATCCAAATTATCTCTTGAAGAAAAATTCATCAAAAGGCATCGGACCAGAAGCATTTCCATCATTTCCTTACTCTTGTCTCCTTGTGACAGTTCTGGAGTTAACGTTTGGCAAGGTGGCCTTCGCTTGCTGCTCAAGCTCATCAAATCCTGAAGTGAACTGCACAAACATGCACAAGTACTCAAAAACAATTCTAATTTCTGAATGGCTTTGCTGGCCTTGTGAAACTGACCTAGCACACGGGTCCAAAAATGCATCATAAACAAATTCCAGTTCTTCCATTTTCTGCAAAAGTGTGTTAGCTTGAAACTTGGTATCACCCTTCTGATTAACATCAGGGTACAAATAACTGAGGGCCTCAGTCAACTTATCTATCTCACTGCTTTCTTGGAAGGAGAAAATCAACACAGAAATCAATGCTAATGTCGAGTTATTGGCTTAAGACAGTATTATTCTGAGATGGAGTGCAAGAAACATTACTGAAGGGTTGTTTAGAGACTACAGTGCATTATGACAGCATGTATAAGAAAGGCCTATGACAGTGTCAAAAATATAATACACTTTGGCCAGAGGCCTCCTAGATTTTGAGGCCTTATGCTTCAGCATGCCAGGCCTATAGGTAAATCCGGCACTATATGGGATGCATAATAAAGATATTAGATTAACTTAACCACTTTCTATGTTCTTGACATACAGTTGGGTGCATTATATTAATCATCAAAACATCTGTCAAGTACACTTTATTGGAATAGAAATTGATACAATGTAACAATGATTTGAGCAGCATGGTGATCACAATTGTCTTACATAATAACATACGTGTAAATTACTTAGGATAACCTCAAAAGTCAAAGTGACTTATTTCCACTGGAAGCCTAACTATTAGATGCAATAGAAATCGGTCATGATTTTAACCATAAAAATAAAACAAGTAAGTCAACTGTGTGAAAATCACTTACCATAAAAGGATATAAAACAAGAATAAAGTTTTATTTGTTTTGAAGGGAAACCAGAATTACAAGAATAAAGTAAACTGAGTAATTTACATGAACATTAAATCGAATGTTCACTATCAGAAATCATTTTTCTCTTTTTCTATGGTTTCATTCATTAGGAACCTTTTAGTTCTCTTCTAGAACTGGTTCATGCTACGAGTGACATTGAAATGTTCAACCAATCCGTTCCACTACTTTACTGCTGCGTAATATTTGAGGCCTGGCCACCTACTCTAGGTATTACAAAATTGTTCACTTTCCCTAGTACCATATTGGTTTTAGTTCTGACTGTGTTTTTATGAATATAACCGTTCACTGGTTTGTTGTTACAAAAATATGCACTTAATTGTGTTTATTGCTGACCTTAATAAACCACAATTTCTGTTTATTATAAAGCTACGAGATATGCTATTTGTTGGCAGTTACTCCCGGGAGAGCACACAGCATTTCGAAGAGCAGGTTAGCGCCAGTAAGAGCAGTCGTTCCCTGGAAGTCATATGGAGGAGATACCTGAAACAGCATAATATATAAATTTAACTTCAGTAACAAAAACAAAAGGTGGGACCAAGTGAACCAGGTCCTAAATGACATAATCTGGGAAGATACCCTAAGAAAGACGGATCCAAACATATGTTTAGAACATACTCGAGGTATGCTCAAGGCATATTCCTTTAAAGAAAATGAAGAGAAGATGTAAACTAGAAAGAGAAAAGTGCTCCCTATACAGGCGAAGGCAAAGAATAACAGAACGGCTAAAAGAGGCCAATATATCTGTAATACGAAGGGAGGCACTGGTCAGAGAAATAGCAAACATTAAAAGAATCGTACAGGAGTCAAGAAACGTGGGGAGAACTAAAAGCCATAAATGCAATTGAAAGAAACCCAAAATATTTCTTTTCTTATGCCAAATTTAACTCGAGAGCAACATCCAGTATTGGAACCCTACTTAAGACGAGACGGGTCCTACACAAATGACAGCAAGGAAATGAGTGAGCTATTCAAGTTCCAATATGACTCGGTTTTTAGCGAGCTGCTAACCAGACGACGAGTCGAAGACCTAAATGAATTTTTTTATGAGCGAGACAGAATTTGGCAGACTCAAACCTATCTGATATTATCCTGATGCCAAATGATTTCTAAAAGGCGATAAATGACATGCCCATTTACTCTGCCCCAGGCCCAGACTCATGGAACTCCCTGGACTAGGTAGCGTATCTTTAATCTATCACTGGACTAGGTTGCATATCTTTAATTTATCAATGGCGAGATGTGTTCATTTATATCCCATACCTGCAAGTCCCTCCCAAGAAGCTCATTACTAGTAATCCCTTTCTTAAATCACTTGTTAAAGCAACTGCTCAAGAAGAAATTTCTCGCCTAGCTGGTAGTAATAAGTTATCCCAAGTTATATACATTGATGGATCAAAGCAGGAGTCTTCTGGCAGGGCTGCATCTGCTCTTGTTGCCACCTCCCTAGATAAGAACGATAACAAATTTGTTGAGTTAGGCATAAGAATTAAAACTGGGCGTCTACACTGTAAACTGAACTGTTTGCAATCCTAATGGCGATAAAGCTAACTTATGACACTGAGCTTGAATCTATCATCATTACTGATTCTATGTCATCATTGAAGGCTCTTGACTCATATAATGACTCCAACAACATGCTCATTGGACAAGTCAGGTATAGATACTCAAAAATCAGGGACAAAGGAATTAATGTACAATTGCTTGGATCCCATCACACATTGGATTACTTCATGATAAAGTTGATATGTTAGCCAAGAAGAGTACCCAGAAGGAGAATGTAGAATATAACTTTGGTATATCTGTGTCTAGCATTAGGAATAATACTAGGAGAGAAGTATATAATGAAAATGATTGTTATAGGAATGCAGTTAGAAGTTGTAGTGGCCAGACTTAGGCTTGGTTACAAGTACTTCTGGCAGTTTGGGAGACACACAAATGATGATCAAACTAAATGCAAATTATGTGATCAGGCATATGGTCACTGTCTTGAACACTATGTGCTTAATTGTCCACTTATCGAGGAATACAGAGACACGCAGTATAATAACATATGTGACATGTCAAGATATCTTATTAATGAAAATAAGATACCAGATATACTAAGCAAATTTCCTAAATTTGCATGTAACAGATAAGTGAACTGCAGATATGTAGATAAATGAAAACCCATATGTACACCGGTTAACCCTTTTGGGGCCTAGTTCCTAGGCCTTTTGTGTATCCATATGTTCTTACGCTACAGTCCACAGAATGTATATGGGGTGCACAATAAACTAGCCACTTTGTGGCAAAATCTAAATCTCTAACCAACTATCACAGACCAAGTTGTGGACCTCTGGCCTAACATCAGACCAGGTTGTGAACGGCCCAGGTTATAAACTTTTAACCTAAAACTAGACCATGTTATTGACCTTAAGTCTATCACTAGACTAGGTTGTGGATCTTTGACCTATCTCTGGACCGGAATGTGTGCCTCTAACCTATCACTGGACCGGAATGTGTGCCTCTAACCTACACGGACGGAATGTGTGCCTCTAACCTATCACTGGACCGGAATGTGTGCCTCTAACCTATCACTGGACCGGAATGTGTGCCTCTAACCTATCACTGGACCGGAATGTGTGCCTCTAACTTATCACTGGACGACAGTCCATCAACAGTTTGTGAACTTCCTCCGAATAGTAGGTATGTACAGCTATCCTTCACCCGGAGACTCACCTCCACTAGGTCGCATCCTACTAAGTTTAGTCCCCGACATCCTCGGACGATCTCCAGCGCCTGTATGGGAGTCAGCCCTCCTATTTCTGGAGTACCTGCAATCCAAAAAGAGTTTTTTGAGTTTTAGGTATTCATTAATGCACAGTCAATAATAGTCTATTATCTGTCGTTATCCTTATCATGTGTATATCCCGATAAGTACCCAACTACGGTACTTAAGAGTTAGTTTGTTAACTGAATTATGTACCCCTTACCCATTCTGTGGGCGATAGTCAAAAGATTACGAAGGCATAAAATGGGTCCAGGGATTGGACCCCAAAGTTTTAATAGCTAAGCAAGTTACAGTTTTAATGAAGTTTTTACATGTTTATATCTGGTTACAGTCGTAATGAGTTATTTAAGCGGACATGAAATCAGTCACAAAATATTACAGTGAAGCTTATATGTTGATTTGAATTGTTCATGTTATCTTATGGCCCAAACATTGTTAGTTAAGGAAGTTATAATAGTAATGAACTATTTATAACAAATGAAAAACTAATAATAAAACAGTTCTATTTGTAGTTGTCTCTAGCGAGTCATATTTTAGTTGTACTTCAATTTAAAGAAATTCTTATAGATGTTAATGTTATACTAGAATGCCTATATTTTTTTACACCTTTTCTAAAGAATTTAGTCGCCAGTTATCTTAATCAAGAAACTTGATAAACAGGTTTAGGATGACGTTCGACAAATCAGAACATATCATTGATAAGCTGGAATGTTAAGTACAGAGCACAGTTTATATTGTTATCAAGATATCAGGACTAGAGTCGTCTTACTAACGTTTTTTGCTCGTGATATTATCTCCAGGTAGTCTGGAATATTCTTACACATGATAAACTTCCAGCAGGACTGGAGTTATCTGATAAATTTAATTAGTGAACCAGCGTGTGTTCCCAACTTGTGGTTTTAAACCACGACGCTCTATATGAGTACCAGAATGGTCAACTTACCAGTGCCAGGACAGAAGCCAGGATCAATACCATCAATATCAAAGGAGAGGTAGACTGGTTTGTCACCCATCTTGGCTCTCACCTCCTCCATGAGTGGCACCAGAGACTTGTGCCAGCACTCCTCACTGATACGTAACGGCGGAAAACCCTGCCCGGTTTATTGTTGAGTTTTAAGATAATAATAATATTAATAATAATAATAATATTAATAAATAATAAATCTTATAGGTAGTAGGTTGGTAGACAGCAACCACCCAGGGAGGTACTACCGTCCTGCCAAGTATGTGTATAACGAAAGCCTGTAATTGTTTTACATGATGGTGGGATTGCTGGTGTCTTTTTTGTCCCATAAACTTGAAAAAGATTTCAGGTACGCCTTGTTACTTCTACTTCAGATCGAGGGAGGCCAAGGCCATGACGATTCTCTGGGCCCGGAATCGGGGCTGGGGTTTGCTCTCTAGGCCTGGAATACTGCTGTCACTAAAGGCCCCCTTCAAGTGTGGCGACATTGCAGACCTGGGGAGTGTACAAAGAACTTACACGACACACATAAGTACGATAAGGCACCTAAACTACTGCGAACGGTTGAAGGTCCTTGATCTGTATTCCCTCGAACGCAGGTGAGAGAGATACATGATATATACATTTGGAAAGGTGCCTGGAGGGATTGGTACCAAACCTGCACAGCGGAAATCACTTCACTCCCTATGAAAGCAAAAGACTTTCGCTCAGGGAGAGCAGGTATGTTAGCCCCCCGATGAAAAGCATGCCCTCGAGACTCAAGCCTAACGGAGTTTTCCTTAACACTGGAGACACACAGTAAGTGGCCGGGGCCCCGCGACTGTTCAATTGCCTCCTACATACATAAGGGGATTACCAAAGACCCCTGGCTGTCTTCAAGAAGGCGCTGGACCAGGCACCTTAAGTCTGTACCTGACCAACCTTGGCTGTGGCGTCGCACATGGATTGCGTGCAGCCATGCATAACAGCCTGGTTAAGTCAGACACTGATCCACCATGAGCCTGGTTCTCAGTCCGGGGCAAGGGGCGTTGACCCCCGAAAACACTCTCCAGGTACATTTAGTTCACACCTACATATACATGTATCACGTTTATATATACACACTGATCTGAGTTTTCTTTGATTTTATCTTAATAGCCTTATTCTTATGGATTTTCCCCTTTTTTATATCCATGGGGAAGTGGAATATAATCTTCCTCCATAAGCCATCGTGTTGTAAAAGTCACTAAAATGCCGGGAACCAATAGGTCTAGTAACCCCTTTTCCCTCCATACAGTCCTACTAAAATAGAAAAAGAAGAAACCATCAAAGTGGGATGTCTGAATGTGTAGATGGTTGTCAAATGATAAGAAAGAGATGATTGTGAATATTTTATAATGAGAAAAGCTGGATGTCCTGGCTTTTAAGTGAACCAAGCTGAAAGGGGGTGGAGAGTTTCAGTAGGGAGAAATAAATGGAATTAGGGTCCAGGGGTTTCAAATAGAGTTACAGCTAAAGGATAGCTATAGGATGTTAGGATGTGTTATGGCAGGAAAGAGGGGAATATAAATTTTTAAATCTATTATTATGTGGAGTCAAATTTGGGTGGATATGAAAGTTGGTTATAGTAAGCATTTATGCACAGGAAAAGAGAGAAGTGTAGAGGAGAGAGAAGAGAATTTGGGAAATGGGAGAAGGGGAGGGGAGTTTTTTGAACAAAGTGTGAGGAACTTGTGGTTGGGGATTTTAATTGCTAAAGTGGGTAAAAATGTGGTTGGAGGGAGTAGTAGGTAAATTTGGGCTAGCCAGGGGTAAATGAAATTGGGAGCCTTTAAATTGAGCTCTGTGTAGAAAAAGGTTGGTAATAAGTAATACATCTTTATGAAAAAGAGGATAAATAAGTATACAAGGTAATGATACAGCAACGTAATGAAAGTAGTTATAGATTATGTATTGGGTGGATAAAAGGTTGATGGGTAGAGGCTTCCGATGTCCAAGTTTTATAGAGGGACCATTGATATATCAGATCATTATTTAGTTTTAGCTGCTGCAGTTAGAGTAAGAGTAGAATGGGCTGAAAGAAAAATGGAAACAACTAGTAAAAGAGAGGTGAAAGTTTATAAACTTAGGGAGGAGGAAGTTTAGGGTGAGAGATAAGCAACTATTGGCAGAAAGGGGGTGTAGGAAGTATGAGTAGTGAGGGGAGTGAAGAGTTTGGGAATAGTTTTTATAAACCCAGTATTAGACTGTGGGGCAGAAGTTTTGTGGCTATATGAGGGTGGGTGTAGGAAGGAAAGAGGAGTGATTGGTGGCACGATGAGTAAAGGATGTGATAAATGAGAAAAATGTAAGCTTATGAGAGGTTTTTACAAAGCAGAAGTGTTATAAGAAGAGCAGAGTATATGGAGAAGTCCAAGAAAGGTTTAAGAGTGTGAAGAGGGCAAAAAACAAGCCGAATGATAGAGGGGAGAGGCACTGAACAAGAAATTTTTGATGAAAAAAAGAAAAAATTATGGACTGAGATAAACAAGTTAAGAAAGCCTAAGGGAACGAAACGGATTTGTTCACTTAAAAACAGAGTAGGGGAGTTAGTAGATGGGAATGGAGGTATTGGGAAAATGGCGGGAATATTTTGAGGAACTTTTAAATGTTGCCGCAGAAAGGAGGGGCGGTAATTCATGCTCTGGCCAGGGAGGTATAACATCTTTTAAGGAGTGATACTAAGAGCAGGATGTTGAGTGTAGGGGAGGTGCGTAAAGCATTACTTAGAAAGAAAGGGAGTAAAGCAGTAGGAACTGATGGGATCATGCCAGAAATGTTAAAAGAGGGAGGGGATATAGTGTTGGATTGGTTGGTTATTTTTTGATAAATAAATGTATGGAAAGAGGGGGAAGATACCTAGGGATTGGCAGAGAGCATGTATATTTCCTTTATATAAAGGAAGGAGGACAAAAGAGATTGTAAAAATTATGGATGAATAAGTTTACTGAGTATACCAGCAAAATTGTACGGTAGGGTTATTATTGTTAGGTAAGACACATATGCAACAGTTAGGTATCTTTATTTCGAAACGTTTCGCCTATTCAAGAGGTTGCTAGTAGAATACAATAAACTCAACCACTCAAACATTATGAAGCTCTGTATAGTCTGCAGTCAATCAAACAAACGGGCTTCCACATGGATAAATTGTCATTTTTGTGGAAATTGGTGTCACGCCCCTTGTGCAGATATCCAAGAACTAGCTACAAGCAGTATTAAAACAGGGAAGTGTTTTTGGGTATGCCCAAATGAGGAAAACCTGTGGACGAAAAATCACAAGGGTATTTAAAAGAGGATAACATCAAAGCTGCTTTCATAGACAACCTGGAAGCTTTTCTCTACAAAGATGGGAACATAAAAAGTCCTTGGGCTGAATGGTACTGCCCTTGAACTGCCCATTGTAAGTCACAAACTGTAAGGGCTGGGAGGTGTGTCCTGGTAAGTCAGGACATGTGGGCTGATAGTGCTGTCGCTTGGAGACAGTAATGGTGAAGCTGAGTGCTGTCCTGGGAGACAGTAATGGTGAACCTGGAGGTGCAGTCCTGGGAGACAGTAAATGGTGAAGCTGGGAGATTTTGTCCAGGTAGTCGGGAATTATACGCAGGAAGGATACCATATAAAGGACCTCATAGGGAACAGGACTCCGTAGTGGGGGAAAACAAGTTGTAGTCAATGAGATAAGAAAAAAACTCAATATTGCAAACGAGAAATACCACAGGAAATAGCAAACAAAGAGGACTCCACTAGCTATAGTGAGGCGATATATTTCCAAAAACAACTGGGGGGGCTCCATTGTTGGTGCTAGGGAGGATAGGAAAAGACAGGGAAACATGCACCAACAGGGAATACAGTCACAGAAACCCAAGGCAAACGGAAACCAAGCCTGTGCACATACTATGCACTTGGTATCTGCAGACATGAGAAATCTGGAAAAACAGACGGGACGTGCAACTATGACCACCCTAGAAAATGCCATGCCCATATGACAACAGGAAAATACAAACTCCCTTCCTGTAAGCTTTTTCACCCTGAAATGTGTACCTCTTCAGTACAGGAAAGACTGTGCTATAACTTAAATTGCCAGGCACACCATCTAAAGGGTACAAAAAGATACAAAACATCCAGGCCATGGGAAAACCTGGGTAGCCACAGCCACTCAAGAGGGAGAGGTTTTTTAGTGCCAGGAAGGAAAAAAAACTGGCAGGAAATGGCAGAAATTGTACACCAAATCCAGTCATTCCTGGAGTGGAACCACAGTCGATGGCCTCCACTCCAAACCAACAGATACAGATACTAATGCCGGAGAAAAAATCCCCCCCCCCAGTACCAACAATACCACCAGTCCGATGACATTCTTCTTTGCAAATATACAGGGTCTAAAGCCAGCAACAAACAACAAAATACCTTTCTTCCGTGGACTGCTTGCAGAGGCAAAGGCAATGTTCACGGCTTTCACTGAGACCCACACAAAGGATCACTTCGACAACGAAATATGGATCCCAGGTTACAACCTATACAGATGTGACAGAGTGAACAGGCAAAAGGGTTGGCCTGTACATTGCAGAGTCACTTGTTTGCACAGAACTGCTTAATGCCTCAAATGATGTAGTGGAAGTTTTAGCAGTAAAGGTCGAGAACCAAAACCTAGTCATTGTGGTAGTCTACAAGCCTCCGGATGCAGCATCCCAGCAATTCCAGGAACAGCTGTTAAAAATTGACCACTGTCTGGAAAATCTTCCAGCTCCTGCACCCAACATCTTGCTCCTGGGGGATTTCAACTTAAGGCACCTAAAATGGAGGAATATAGCAAATAATATTGTTGCAGTAAAAACACCAGGAGGCAGCTCTGATGAAAACTCACACTCACACGAGCTTTTAAATCTCTGCACAAAATTCAATTTAAACCAGCAAATAATAGAGCCTACTAGACTGGAGAATACACTAGACCTCATCTTCACTAACAATGATGATCTGATAAGAAATGTCACCATATCAAAAACAATATACTCAGATCACAACATAATTGAGGTTCAGACATGTATGCGTGGAGCCCCAGACCGACATAATGAGACTAGTCACGAGGGAGCATTCACCAAATTCAACTTCAAT